ATGCACGCACACGCGCCCGGCGTGAGTTTTAAGCCACCGGGTCCGGGACGCGAACCGCCGTCGATTACGTGGGAGTCCAGCTACATAGCCATTACGGTAACTGCTGGTCCCTAAAAAATAAAAGTATTTCTGAACCCCAAGGAGGGGGCTCACCAGATTGGTTCTGAACTAGACTTATGCCCAATGTCCTCTGAATCTTTATCACACAGTCGGATGGCCACACTAACCCCTTTCACATTTTTTGGTGGAGTTTAAAAAAGAAATTGCTAGAGGGTGTATGCATTTGCTGGAGAGAGAGATAGAGAAAATGAGAAAGCACTTCCCTTGGAGGATGGTCATGTCCTAATCCCTTCTTCTGAATTTCTCCTTCTGGGATTTAGGGCATGCAGACACATATACCCAGTGTGTTTTTCAAGCCGCTGGGTCCAAGACATGAACTGCGCAGTCGGCCATGTGGGATTCAGCTGTCCTAACCACCAACTGGCCCTAGAGGGATGTTTTAGAAGTGACTTAGTGTCCCCTGCCTTCTCTGCCTCCTTCTACTTTCCCAGAGTCAGGAGCCCCATCTGGTTCCCTTTTCAACTGCTCTTACCTGCACCTGGAGTTCACTCACACACAGACATAGTGTCTCTCTCTCTCTCTTTTTTTTTTAGAATTATTTTATTCAACTTTATTTAGTTTTAATTTGACCAGGGAGGAGAGAAAGAGAGAGAGAGAGAGAGAGAGAGAGAGAGAGAGAGAGAGTGAGAAAGCAAGCTGCCAGGTCCAGGACTCGAACCACAGTCATCCATGTGGGACTCCAGCACCCTTAACCACCATGCCACCTGTTGGCCCCTCTCCCTCGCTCTTTACCAGTCTGCCTTAGAGACCCATTGGTCCTGCCAGATAAGAGTAGCCCTCCTGGAAAATGAACCCCTTTCCTCATTTTCCTTGGATCTCTACCTCAGGCCCTTCAATATTTAGGATGTTCAGGAGCTTCAGATAAAGACTTGAGACTACCTCACACAATTCTGATCCCACACGTCCTTCCCTCCCATGTCAAGCTGTTGTCCTACTTATGGCAGGAGGGAAGGGTACCAGGGTATACTTCACACATGCTTTGAGGTGGTCAATCCACTCTGACTCTTTTTACTACAAGATAAATGTGAGGGACCTATAGCCTTAATTAAAACCTGACTTGTTTCTTTTCTGGAAAACAAAATTGAATTCATTTGTTCATCAAATATTTATTGACCTGAGAGGTGTCAGGCTTTGTGCTAAGTGCTGGGGAGACACAGGTGAGCCAAAACAGTTGGGGTCTGTGGTCTCCTAGAGCTCTAGTCTGGCTGGCTGTGACATTAATGAAGTTGTCACTCGATATGCAATATCACAGCAGTGGTGATATGGAGAAGCTGTTTGTGAGGCAGTGATAGCAGTATGAATACTGCTCCGAGGTGTCCTCCCTGAGAAAGTGATGCTGAGCCCAGGTCCCAGGAGAAATTAGCACTGGCCAGAAGAGCATGTGCATACTGGGGCGACAAAGGAGCGAGGGGAGGGCGTTCCATGCTCAAATTCACTGGGCAAGAGGAGTCAAGTAAGTTAAAGGAAATGAAAGCCAGTGACTTTGGAGGGAGTGAGAGGGAGAGGGAGACTTTGAGGAGAAAAACGTTGAATTTTAGTTTGCATTTAGTCGAGTTTACGACGTTTAGGAGAGAGCTGACAGTGGTGCGGTGCTGGACTTCCACATGACTGGCCATGGTTCAAGTCCTGGACCTGGCATCTTGCTTTCTCACTTTTCCTCCTCTATCTCTCTCTGGTCAAATTTAAAAATAATAATAACAACAAATGAAGTTAAATAAAATAATTATTTAAAAAAATAAAAGACATCTAGTGATGGTGACAGGTGGCGTGGTGGTTAATGTCACTGGACTCCCACATGACCTACCGCGGTTTGAATCGTGGGCCTGCTGGCTAGCTTTCTTACTTTCTCATTCTCTCTCTCATTTTATCCCTCTCTGGTCGAATTAAAATAAATGAATAAAGTTAAATAAGAATTTGTAAGGTCTGGGGGAAGGGAAAAGAAACATGGCGGAAACATTCCTGACGGCAGAAACTTTCCTGTTTTCCCGCATCTGGCTCGCCATCACCAGCGGACTTTCCCGTCCTTCAGCATTTGGCGCGCCCACCCAAGTTGAAGAGAAACAGCGAACTTCATTGGCCAGACAAGGACCCATGGTGAGTACCTATTGGACAATGGCCCTTTAGAAACAAGCAGCACCCACCCTGGGCATGACTCCCTCGGCCTCTAACCAGGCCAAGTGACCTCACCCGAGAGCTTTTGCAGAATAAATTATATTGGTTTTATTAAACCCCAAGACCTGACTCTAGTATTTTCGTCTTAGCCACCTCTGACTCCACCGCTGTTCCCAAATCAAACCTAACAGAATTCTTTTCTTTTCTTCTTCTTCTTCTTTTTTTTTTTTAAAAGACGATTAGGAGATATCTGTTTGGAGATATACAGCAACTAGCATAAGATATGCTTTTTTATTTTTTTAAGAATTATTTTATTGTGCTCACTTCAGCAGCATGTATACTAAAAGTGGAATGATACTGAGATGATTAGCATGGCTCCTGTGCAAGGATGACACACAAATTCATGAAGCATTCCATATTTTTATAAAAAATGGTGCTCTTTCTTATTAAAAAAAGTCAAAAGGTTAAAAAAAGAAGAATTATTTTATTTATTTATTTATTTATTTTAATTTGACCAGAGAGAGAGGGGGAAAGTGAGAAAGCAAGCCACCAGGTCCGAGCCTCGAACCATGGTTGGCTATATGGGAGTCTAATACTCTTAAGCACGACGCACCTGCTGGCCCCAAGATATGCTTTTTTTTTTTTTAATGTTGAGTAGAACAAAATCCAGGAAGTGAAAAATTATTCGAGATCTTATGTGATTCTGGAGACTCAGCCCCTTGTGTTTCCTGCTGCACAAGTTTTGTTATCTCTGATCCTTTTCCCCAGCGTGATGGTTACCAAACAACTGCCTACCCTTCTCAGTGCCTCAGAACTTTGACCTCCTCAGGGCTGCTGCTTATTGCCTCCTCTCTCATGTCTTTTGACTTCTGCTAACTCCCATGTACCTGAGAGGAGGATCTGATTGGTCCGTTTAGCTCTATTGGGCCTGTGAGAGAACATTCATGTCTGAGCATGATCTTGCAGGCTGTCCTGTGGTCAGATGCTTCACCCTCCAGCCTTCAGCTCTAGCCTGGTGCATGTGATGATTCATCCTCCAGGAACCGTGTAGAGTGACCATGATGGGTTCTTTCTCTTAAAAGCACTCCAGAGCAGGGCCAGCAATGGCGTGGTGGTTAAAGGCGCTGGATTCCCACATGGCTGACCACAGTTCGAGTCCCAGACCTGGCAGCTTGCTTTCTTACCCTCTCTCTCTCTGTTCCTCTGGTCAAATTAAAATAAATAAATTAATTAATTAAATTAAATTTTAAAAGGGAACCAGCAGTTAGCGTAATGGCTATGTCGCTGGACTCCCACGTAGTCGACCACAGTTCGCGTCCCGGACCTGGTGGCTTAAAACTCATGCCAGGCGCGTGTGCGTGTGTGCCCAAGATCCCGAGCGGAGAATGGAGGAGAAGGGATTGCAGTGTGACCATCCCCCCAGGGGGTGATTTCTCGCTTTCTGTCTCTCTGTCTCTGTCTGGCGAGCACACGTGCCCTATAGCAAAACAAAACAAAACAAAACAAAACAAAACAAAAAAAACACAACCTCTCCAGAAAAATTTTTTTTAAAAAAAGAAATAGATGTCCATTAAAAAAAGCATTCTAGTGCAGTTGCACAGACAACTAAGTGGGATGGTCGCTGAAGTATGGGTGGTAGTATGTGGTGGTAGAGGGAATACCCCAAATCCTTATTGAAAACAGGCATACCATAAATACACTGCAATGAATACAATACAGTAACTGACACTCAAATACAGTCAGAAGAAGCTGTAGGGTGTTGTAAAGATTAAATATGATACATGTGAGGGGCCTGCATGTGGCATGGTGGTTAAGGTTCTGGACTCTCACATGGTTGACTGTGACTCAAGTCCCAAATCTGGCAGTTCGCTTTTTCACTTTCCCTCTCTCTCTCTGGCCAAATTAAAAAATAATAATATTGAGACCAGCTGGCAGTGTGGTAGTTAAAGGTGATGGATTCCTACCTGACCGACCATGGTTTGAGTTCTGGACCAGGTGGCTTGCTTTCTCACTTTCCCTTTCTCTCTATCTGGTCAAATTAAAAATAATAACAATAACAAATGGAATTAATTAAATAAATAAATCTTTTTTTAAAGAATTGTTTTATTTAACTTTATTTATTTATTTTTATTTGAACAGTGAGAGACAGAGTGAGAGATTGAGAGAGAAAGCCGCCAGTTCTGGGACCGGAACTGAGGTCAGCCATGAGGGAGTTCAGTGCCTTTAGCCACCATGCCACCTTCTGGCCCATAAATAAATAAATACTTTAAAAATAATAATATTAATAAATAAAATTAAAAAAATAAGAGGATGCATGTGAAAGACTTAGCTGTGAGATGATGTAGAAATGTCTTTTATTGTTATGGTTATGATATGCTTTGGAACCTCTTTGTTGTTATCTATGCATTCATAAAGCAGTTTCTCTGTGTTGCTGGTTTTTGAGGCCCTCCAAGGGCATCTTGGAGTTGAGAGAAATCCCTAAAAGCGAGTCATGGTGATGGGGTGAAATATTCTAACTCTACAGCCAAACCCAGTCCTGGGCAAGACGGAGAAATGACTAGTATCTGTGTCCATTTCCTGCCTCTCTTTGCTGGCCTGGTAGTCTTGGGTTATCATTTCCACATCTCTTCCATTTGCTTCTCTCCAGTGATCAGTATTTTCCAAAATGAGCTCATCACATTAATCATCCTAGGGTGTGAGTGGCCCTTTCAGGCTGTATTTATATATTAAAGGAAGACCAAAAAAGCTCAGAAGGAGGGATCTTTAGGGTCTGTGGAATGGAAAGGGGGAGAGGAAAGTCATGCTGAAGCAGTGGTGCCTTCCTGGCATCTCTGGGCATCCCTGCAATCACCCTGATTCAGAGCCCATCTGGTCTTCTCATCTCAAGGCCAGCCCTGCTTGCTCTGTACTCACTGCTGCAACTGCTGCATGGTCTGAAAGAGAGAGAGGATGATAGCTCGGTTCCTTGCTTGCACAGGATCAGGTGAGCAGGGAGGCCAGGCAGCTCAGCGGAGAGAGGCAGGATGGCGGTGGCAGCAGAGGTGTCATTAGCAGCACTAATGAATCATGCTGGGCCTGGTTCTCTGACTCAGCTCGAAACTCCTTTCGGTGGACAGGAAACCAGTAACCAATGAAGTCAAAAGCTTAACTTCAAAGTCTTCAGACTGGAAACCACTAGATGTTTTTTAACCTTCTGTGTCTAAAACAAGAAGGGAATCCACTGGACAGAAGCTGCTCTGTCTGTTTTGATGCAGAGGGACTTGGTTGGTAGAGGTTGGTTATGAGCCAGAGCTCTCATTTCTTATGAGAGTAAAAAATCGTACAGGAATTTACAAAAACAGGAAACTGGTGATGAAAGCCATTGGAATTATGTAAATGAAGGTCTGTTTGGAATGCAGGTGGGAGTCTGCCTGTGGGAAAGTTTGGGGAGTAAATCAGGATGAACAGCCAGGTTATCCTGTGGTGTTACAACACGGTGTGGTCGTGTGTGTGTGTGTGTGTGTGTGTGTGTGTGTGTGTGCCAGACAAGGGGGGGCATACCGTTGCTGCCTCTGCAGTATCAGCTGGAGGGAGTGCTGGGACAGTGCAGCAGGGAAATGAGATGCTCACATTGCTCCAGGAGAGATTTGCTTTTTCTCATGGATGTAAGGGATGGAGCTGCGTGAGCTCTGGAGACTTCTTACTGCCCCCAGCCCTCCAGGACTCTAGCACAGTGGCCAGCAAGGAGATCTGGGAGCATCAAGGTTTAGATCAGTGACTCACAAACTTTTGGGAGGAGAGACACTTTGTTATAGCTTGTTTTGGGGGTATATTCTTCTTACCACGCTTTAAAAGTGTTGTCAGTTAGAAAAAATTTAATTGACTTGGGGTTAAAATTTAAAATGAAGAATGTCTTGTGTTTTGAAACTTCCAAGACAGCCGAATAACCTTCTGAGGCATTGCAGTATTGGGGTTTGGATTCTCTCTGCTGTATGCCAAACGCTCTTACGGGCAAAGGGAAAGCCTTGGGTACTGATAAGAAAAGAGGCTGCCGTAGGGGTATCTCTGCTTGTTTACTTCAACCCACTCCAGGCCATGTTGACATCTGGGGATATTTGATAAAATGTCCTTTTCCCAGACTCATTACTATCAGTTTCTTTTTTTTTTTTGCTTCTAATCTCTCTCTTCTCCAGTCCATCATTCATCCCGCCATCAGAGTCAATTTCCTAAAACGGATTCAATCATGTCATCTTCCCTCCTCAACGATTTTCAGTGCGCTTTCGCACTGCCTACCTAAAATCTAAATCTTTGCATGGGACGAGGAAAGTCTTTCATAATTTAATCTTCTAATATCATTCTAGTTTCAATATATTTTAAAGTTATTTATTATTATTGTATTTTCTTTATTCTTTTTTCTTTTTTTATTATCATAATCTTGCTTATATTACATTGAATCACATATAACTTTACAGTGTATTACATTTCTCCTTCCAGAAGGAATTCTCTTTCTTCAAAGCCTTGCTCAAGGGTCACCTCTACGGCTGTGCCTCTAGTCTCCTGGCAAGATTAATCATTCTTCCATCCCTCTACTCTCTAAAGCACGCTGTGCTTCTAACTGATATGTAACAGCATTTGTTTACTTATTTATTGGACATTTTAATTGCCAGAGGCTGCATGTACTTGTGAGAGAGAGAGAGAGAGAGAGAGAGAGAGGCAGAGAGGATGTGATCGCACCGTAGCCCTTCTGTTCCAGTTCTCCATCCTGTTGGGATTTTAAGCATGCGTAAAGGCAGTGTTTCACACTGCTGGGGCAACTGGCATGGTTTTCAAGATGCTGGGGCTGGGATTCAAACCGCAGTCAGCCATGTGTGCTCTAGCTCCCTTAACCACCATACTACAGGTCTATCTCCAGTATTTATTAAGTCTGCTTTGCATTGTATCCAGTTATTTATGTATTTGACTCCATTAAACAGAAAAGATCCTTGAGGTAGGGGAATTCATACTTTATTATTACAGTGCCTTAAGGGTGTTGAATAAATGATCACGAATAATGATAATATCATTATTGAGAACATACTGTGTGAAAATTACTTTATTAAGAACTCTTCTCGGGGCCAGCAGGTGGTGTGGTGGTTAAGGGTGTTAGACTCCCACATGGCCAACTGTGATTCGAGTCCTGTACTGGGCAGTTTGCTTTCTCACTTTCTCTCTCTTCTTCTCTCTCTCTCTGTCTCTTGCTGGTCAAATTAAAATAAATAAATAAATAAATAAAGTTAAATGAAATAATTCTTTTTTTAAAAAAAAAGAACTCTTCTCATGGAGCTACTAGACAGTGTGGTGATTAAAGCACTGAATTTCCACATGGCCGGCTGTGGTTTGAATCCTGGACCTGGCGGCTTGCTTTCTCACTTTATCTCTTTATCTTTGTGTGTCTCTCTCTGGTG